TATTTTTTATGTTTGTTATTATTTATTTACTGTTTCGAAGAGTCGTTGTTGTAACATATTTGAATTCTAACAATATTATTTATATTCTTATTGTGGTTTGGGTTAACTCCAGTGTCATTATGTATCAGAGCTAGGATAACCCTAGTCTTATCCTAGGTTTTCCTAGCATCCGCCTTCCCCCTCCACAAAAATTTTCTTCTTATTCCCAAACCATAGACAAATTTGAATTAACTCTATTTTTCCCTTGTTGATTTTTAAAATCAACAAACCCAAATTAATTTTACTACACCTTCAATTAGTCTCATACACCTTCTTTCACCTTCCAACTCTATACCCTAGCCATGCCACCAAGAAAATACATGCCTGAGCCTACTGGAAAGAGATACAATGAGAGATTCGTCGACTTCAGCGGAGGCTTACAGATATGGAAGATGGAACCCAATGGGAAGTTACCCTCTACTGTGACAGGGAAAGTCAAAGGCCAAAAGAGATGAGAATTTAAACCCTTCCAATATGGAAGAGTTCAGCGATGAAGAAGACATGCCATGATGCTTTGGAATTCAATATCAGAGGAGGCCGAAAGAGGTGTCCACATATGGAAGACAAAGGAACTTCAGAATAAAGGTGGATCTTTTAGAGTTTGAACGATATATGGATCCTGCCGAGCTCATCAATGGCTGAAGCAAGTTGAGAGAATCTTTGAGTACAAAGATGTGCCAGAAGATAAAAGGGTAAAACTAACGGCTATTAAATTGAGAAAGAGCACCTCCTTGTAGTGGGACAACTTGCAGAGTAGAGGAAGAGAGAAGGAAATGATAGAATTATCAAGTAGAAAATGTAGAATGTGATGCAGAAAAAGATCTACTCTCTCGCTACCGCCAGGATATGTTTATGAGGCTCCATCACCTATAGCAGAGATCCCTTTTGGTAGCGGTTTTCACGACACAGTTTGACCAATTGCAGATGAAGTGTGATTTGGTCGAGCCAGAGGAACACACCATAGTCTGTTATTTGGGAGGCCTGAAGCACGCTATTAGCAATGTGGCGTAGATGCAACCTTTTTGGTTACTTGGAGATACCCATACTTTAGCATTGAGAGTGGAAAGACAACAGAATTAGAGCAGCCAATCACCACCAGTCAAACAACCACTGAAAGTTAGAGACACTAACAGGAGCAAGCCTTAGAAAGTTGAGAAAACTGGTTCAGATAAGGATAGAGCCGCCCTTAGTAAGAAGAATCCTGAGAAGAGTAACACCCCAACTACAATCCCAACCAGAAAATGCTTCAGATGCCATGGATTTGGGCACATCACCTCTAGTTTTCCAAAGTGCTGAGTTGTATATTTTACCGAGTAGGGCGTCGTGGAGGAGGTTAGCGACGAGGAGACAATCGAGGAACAGGATGTGGTGTCATCTTCCACCATATGAAGGTGAGGAGCTTATGGTTTGATGGGTCCGACAGACTAAGGATACGGGGTATTCAAATTGGCTTTGTCATGTTTAATTCTACATCCGTTGCACTGTGAACGAGAAAGTATGCAATATCATCATCGATGGAGAGAGCAGCAAGAATGTGGGACCTACACAATTGGTAGAGAACTTGGGCCTCATGACTTAAAGGCACACTCAACCATGTTTTCTAATGTGGCTAAAGGAGAACAGGGACAACATTGACTAGAGGTGCATTGTGACGTTTTCGATTGGGAGCCAATTGCAGGATCAGGCATGATGTGACGTGGTACTTATGAATTTTTGCACCTGTGGTTATTATTTTTTTTTTGAGGGAGCAGTAAGAATGTGTCATATACGCAAATGGTAGAGAAATTGGGCCTCATGACCCAGAGGTGCATAGTGGAGTTTTTTATTGGGAGACAATTGCAGTATCAGGTATAATGTGATGTGGTTTCATGAATTTTTGGCACATGTTTTTTTTATTTTTTTTAGGGAGCAGTATGAATGTGGCATATATGCAGACGGTGGAGAAATTGGGTCTCATGACTTAGAGGCACGCTCAATCATATTTTCTGACGTGACTGAAGAAGGAGAACAAGGTCAATATTGACCAGAGGTGTATAGTAGAGTTTTCGATTGGGAGCCAACTACAGGATCAGGTATGGTGTGATGTGGTTCCCATGAATTTTTGTCACCTGTTGGGGAGAGCAATATAGTTTGACTGTACTACTCATCATAACGGATTTATAAACAACCACTCATTCACCAAGGAGGTGAAGCACATCGTTGTTCTCCGTTATGCAGAGCCTGAGATATCAGGTGCCCTTGCTGACAGAGCGGTGTTGGTGGGACAAGTTTTGGTTACGACAGAAGAGGATATGATTGAGACGCCGATTCCGGGCATGGGACAATCATGATAGATATCATTTCTCTATATCACAACCGATACCTTACCACCATAGCCCCCACCATTTGGGGAGGTTTAGGATATCCTCACTTCATATCAGATTACTTTGAGAGGTTTCAGTATGCAAAATGCCAGTCTCTCAGGGGAGAAGCTCCGACTTCCGTCTGTAAGGGCAACTCAGGGATAAGTCTATCCATCTGAAAGGTTTGAATGTTTCTTATCTAGAATTGTCCTGTGTTTGATATCTCACGACTCCTTTGGACATCCAAGACTAGTTCTACTGATACTTCTCTTAACAACTGCAAAATGCTAGCTCGAGGCACCATAATCTCATACTCTGTCGGAATACTTATTACATCAGGATCACTATCTTTTAGAATAGCTATAGTTACCTCAACTGAAATCTCTATCTTAGGGTCAACTTGAGTCGATGGTGTCTCTTGTTGGCTGAAAATTGGGAATCCTCTCTGAAGTCTGCATCTTCTTCGGGGTCATCATTTCTCTTCAACCGAAAGCTATTCCTCTTTGCTTTGGGCTGAAAAATAACCTATTTATAATAGAAGATAGGTAAGGAGGCGGAGGCCCCTCCCCTTGGGTGGTAAAACCAGCCCCTTGGACCGGGCGGTCCAAACAGTAGGAAAGCTGAACCGTTTCAACCGAACCAGTTGGTTCAGAGCTCCTAAGCCCTGCGTCACCGGGAGAGTGGAT